TATTTGACTTCTGAGTGTTAGTACGCCAGCAGATGATTAGCTCTTTCTACCGTATAGACTGAAATAAGGAGTAAACGGCTAGTTTAAAAACAAAACCTACACCACTTAATAACCTACAGCTCTGGAAAAAATTAAGAGACCACTGCAGCATTATCAGTTTCTCTGGTTTTACTATTGAAAGTGGACCTATCACGCTATATTTGAATAATATAGTGTAGGACCATACCTATATACAGTAAGGCATATTTATACTTTTTATTTTTCAAAATACCAAACAGATCATGCATTTTAGCCATTCCTCATTTCGCTCAATTTAACACTGTCTTTGCATGGGCTGATTCTGTGAGAACAGCACCATCTACAGGCCTGGCATATGTACTACAGCGTCTCCAGCGCTTTCCAACGGCAATGTCCGTGGCTGTCTCCTCCTGATTGGTGGAGTTGCCCCAATAGCCGTAGCGCCACTTCTGTGACGTCTGTCTGTATCAGATCCGTTGCAGCCCCTTTTTAAGAGATTTGGGTATGGAGGAAAATAGAGAGGGTTGTGTTTTCTGACACTTGGTGAGTTCCCTGGAACACCGGGGACACATGTTCATGTATAAAAGACGTACAAAAGTGCATTTTGCATGATAGGTCACCTTTTAAAGCAGTGTTCTCAAAGTGTGGACCCCCTAGTGCAGGGCGACTGTGGCTGTGAGGGAGTGTGGTCGTCTTTCAACCAGAGATTGTGGGTTCGATCCCAGCCCATGCAGTCAACATGTTGATGTATCCTTGGGCAAGATACTTAACCCTGAGTTGCTCCCGATGGCATGGCCAACGGTGTGTGAATGTGTGTGAATGTTAGGTCCTAGAGTAAGGTACACTGCTCTGTATGAATGGGTGAATGACATGTAGTATGTAAAGCGCTTTGAGGGGTCTTAAAGACTGGATAAAGCGCTATATAAGTACAGTCCATTTACCATTTACCTAGTGGTCCGTGAGTATATTGGCAAAATTTCACATTTGAAATTAATTAATTAATTAAAGTTTTCCGTACTCACGCGGGAATATCTCCGCAATGGAGTGAGTTTAAGTTTCAACACCTTCATCACACAAGTTGCCACTTGTTTGTACCATTTTCAGGCGATTTGTAATCTGTTCTAGAAAAACGATGTGATTTTGGATATTTGTGAAGTTAGGTGGTCCGCGAGTGTTTTTTTATTGGTTAAGTGGTCCTTGGTATGAAAAAGTTTGAGAAACACTGATTTAAAGGTATGTGTTTTTAGTAAAACTACATATTTGTTTTAATTCTATAAACTACAGTATACGGACAAAATTTATCTGTGTTAGTGTTATTCAACAGACACTGGAATGGAATGGCTGCCATAAATGTAGAGATTGAGATTTAAGAAACATTTGGAGTGGACTTCCAGACCTGTAGCTAACCTAGAGCAGGGGTCGGCAACCTTTACTCTTAAAAGCATTTCTCTCCTTCTGCCACGGAGGGAAAAATATGTGTTTCAGTGTCACAAGATCATTTCAAGTTTCTGCTGTTCAAACATTTTTTATCTACCAGTTTTTATTTTGATATTATCCCAGTAGAATATCACAGTTTCAGGAAGTGCGAAATGTCAGCAGCAAATGTCAGAATGAAAGAGCATGACCTTCTTTCTTGTCTTATCATTTTACACAAATGTAAAGGGGAAGAAGTCCATGGTGAAAGTACTGTACAGAATTCTCCCACGCTCTTACTTATTCTTTAGACTTATTCATTCTTCTTTACATTACATTTTAATCATCATAACTCCCAGATTGTTACTTGAAAAACTGAATGAGAAAAGTTTTGTATTTATATTCCTGTCCTCTCCTCTCAGTGTCAATATGCAGCCGTTGTCTTGAAATTGCACAATGACTATGCAACCATTGCTCTCAGTGCAGTCAATAATAACCTCCCTGATGCGCAGAGGAAATAGAATTTTAGATGAGACGTGAAGCATAAAGTAGCTTTGATGAAATATATGATTATTTTGAGCTTGGATACGAGTAGGTCTCCTGTCAGAATCGCCCATTGTTCATGATTGGAATTTAAAATGTCTAAACGTTGAAGTGTTTATAAAGAAATAGTTCCCTCGACTTTTCATAAAATATCTTTATTGTCATCATACATCGGTATAACGAAATTTAGTTGGCATCTCTCACTGCTAATAGAAATAGACACAAATACATAAAAGCAGTGATACAAGCAGAGGTAGCAGCGATGGCAATGCTATGCAATGAGAAGCCAATGAGATTAAATTAAATGTGAACGACGTACATATTTACACATTTTACAGACTATAAAATTAAAATATACCAACATACAACATTTTAAATATAACTGTTCGTAAATGGATGTTAAAAGTAACCATAGATGCTTACATAAAAAAATAAAAAAGTCAATTTAATGGCACTTTTTGTTGGCAATTTTACGATATTTCCCCCAATTTAAATATTTAGATTTGTTAACCTAAAAAAAAAAAAATGTTTGTAGTACATTTTTTGTATTTCTAAAAAAATGTTTTCCTTCAGATTGATGATAACTGCTAACCCTGGGAATAACTAACAACATGTCCAAAGTATTTACACGTATGGCTGTACTTTCCCCCTAATTAATGAGGAATCAGCTGATCAAATAACACAGAAGTAAATTAGGCACAGTAGAAGTTTCTTACCCACAAAAAAATCCATTCCTAATTTTCTGTCAAAAGTGTGTGTGTTTTAACGTGGTCTCTATTTCCAGGCGCCCCATGGACTACTACACCATGGAGCTGAGTGAGCACGCAGAGGGACTGTCAGATCTATAATCCAGGCGTCTGGAGGTGCTCGTGTGCGTGGGAGGACTTCATCAGAGGGAGCGGGCGGTAATCAGAGGTTAATCTGACCTGAACGTCACTGATTATGCGGTTGTTAAAAACAGGTTCCACCACAAGTGTCCTTCTGAGTGTCCTTTGAGTGGATCCCTGATGAAATGACTAGGGATTGTCTTGTTAACAGCCTAGTTGTGTCGAGTCTGCGCGGTATATTCCATGGCACTGTTGACATTTCGACAGCAATCCATGAATCTAATAAGAAACGCCAGATAATACCATATTTTTATAAAGGTCGATGTGCAACCTTTGCCTGTGAACAGTGCTGGTTACTACTTTTAAAGGAAAAGGAAGAGGAAAGGGAGCATTTTCTTTTTAATACTTGAGTCATTTTTGTTGACTTGTTCATGTTGTATTTAAAAATATAAGAACCACCATGCTATGCTGGAAGCTCTATCAACATAATGACTTTCATCACATTCAGATGTTATAACCAAGATAATATTTGTGACGCTCACATTTAGCCTTCAGGTCCACTTCCTGCTTCGCTCTCCTGCTACATGCTGTAAAAACGTTAGGGCGTGATTGTGTTTTTAATGTGAATATCTTTAGCTAACATGTGATCAGCGTCTGTAACCACTTTTGTATGCTTACTTCAAGCAAACTGTTTACATTTTTCTTGAATGGAAATTAGAAAGGGATGCGAGAAAGTAAATGAATAAAGCGTATTTGTTTTTGAGAAATGAAAAATTGCTTATTAAGAAAATCAGAAAAAAAATATTTGTGATTTTTTTTTTTTTTTTGTGGCTAAGAAACCTCTACTGTGCCTAATATACTTCTGTGTTATTTGATCAGCTGATTCCTCATTTATTAGGGGGAAAGTACAGCCATACGTGTAAATACTATGGACATGTTGTTAGTTATTCCCAGGGTTAGCAGTTATCATCAATCTGAAGGAAAAAATATTGTAGAAATACAAAAAAAAAACATCTATTTTCAAAGTTTTGATTCAATTATTTTTAAAAATATTTAAATTGTGGAATTAATCATAACATTTCCAATACAAAGTGCCATTAAATAATCATCTCAGCCTGGATATGATGTTCTATTTCTAATATTGCTTACCTTGTAATGTTGCATCGCTCATCTGCTGTAGTGCAAATCATTTCAGTTACCTTGTAAATACATTTGAAAAGAAAGCTAGATTTGAAAACGAAATCCTCTTTTGTAAGGGAACCCCCCGCCCCCCCTGAAATTATGCTATGTATAAATGTATTTTATTGTAAACTTCTATATTTCTAGGTTGTATGTAAAACGGTACATTTAGAAAGAAAAAAAAAAAGGGAAGGAAGAAATTGCACTCAAAATAATATGTTGGCGTGGAATTAAAAGTGATGTGTTCGCACTGACGAAGCTACACAATGATGACGAATGCAAACAAAATGTGATGAAGAACGTGTTCACATCAATCATAAGTTGAAATCTAACTGTAGGAGAAGCCACAAACTTTTCATGGGTACGAAAAGTCTCTCATGGCAGCAGCAGAGAGAAAGAACATTTGAAAGAACATGCTTAATGCTGGGACACAATTTAAATGCTTTATTTGTGTTTCTTTGCCGTCCTATTTTCCTTCATTGTCATGCACATGTAGCAGGTTTGAAATAAAACACTTCAGCTGATGTGCAATTTGTGCAGCCTCCCAGTCCTTTTTCAGCATATCCTGTTTTACGAATTACCTCTCGCTGCTCTCGGGGCGAAGAAGTACCTACATAAAGGTTTTGTTTTTGTAGAAAAGCATTCCCTCACTTCCCTTTCTGCTGTGCAGTACCTACACATTATGTATAATATGTTTTGAGACTTCCTGCCAAGATAAACGTGGAGAGCTTTTTTCTCTACAATTTTCGAAACACCTTTTATAATTATGACCTCTCAGGCATTTAAGTGTGTTTTGCTCTTGTAAGCTTACCAATCATATAGTGTGTCTCTTCTCAGGTCTTATTTGTGGTTCAACATCGCCTTTGTCTAAGGCCTAGCGTGCACAAGAACAAGGCAAATGATTTGTTTCATTTTTCACTGTTCAACCTGCAAACCACAACACAGGAAGTCAGATTAAGTAGACAGGAAGGAGCTGCAGCATGACACGCTTTCTCGAGCAGCAGCACTCACTTCAGGACGTTTATTTGACGTTTGCCCTCGGCCAGGTTTCACTCCTTTTTAGATTCCTCCGATTCACACTTTCTCCTTCAGCTGCTTCCAGGACAATAATGGCGGTCGTCCACAAAGCATCCGTGTGGGCAGCGCTTCACATCCTTTGACGCCTACAGACCACTTCAACAAGCCTGAGGTGAGTTATCTGAGCGTTGCTTATTGCACAATGCACTTTATAACTGTCCCTTTTGACTCCAGCTGTTTTTATTATGTTTCCTTTCAACCACGGCCTTAAGCATCCAGGACAATGAATATGGGATAAAATAAATGCCTTACATTAAAATACAATACATCTGACATATTTGCACCTCATGCATCAACTGGCTTATTTTTACAGTGTGTTGCTTGTGTTTTGTTCCCCAGACTTGTCTCTTGTAAATGTTGGGTTTCCCTATCACACTAACGACACATTTCTATGGTAACCGTATGTCATTGAGTTGTTTATGGCACTGAGACAGTCTGTAAACTTGGCAACGGATGCGTGCACGCTGTCTGAAGTGAATTTGAGTTTTTGAATCGGCTTCCTTTATGAAAAGAGACGTGATCAGCGATAAACCACACAGGAAGGCCTTTGACATTTCTCATTTTGTGTCAGTGAAACCTCAAAACATACATTTCATTTATATATCTGCAGTTTGTGACATGAAATCATACTTATAATCAACCCTATCAGTAGAACATTTACAAAATAAATGTAATACAATATGCTTTGCAATGATGGAAATTAAACAGTTTAGAAAATATATCATATAATGTAGGATGTGTGTTTTATTAACAGCCATCACCCTAACAGTAAATCCTTCTGACAGTAAAGAGTACAATGTGTTAAAGAGCCCCTGTTATGCTTTTTGGGGGTTTCCCTTTCCTGTAGTGTGTTTATAAAGTATTTTGTGCATGTAAATGGTCTGCAAAGGCTAAAATCCCAAAGTTCCCCCCCCTCCCCTTCCCGAAACGCCACCTTTGGATTCCTTTGTTTACTTGCGTAACATAATGACATAATTATGTAACACTCGTGCTCCTACTGGAAAGCGCTCCAACACTTTGTACATGATAGACTAAGGGGCGGGACATCTCTAAGCGGTTGACCAATCACAAGGTGTCCCCCAAGGTTCAGTTCTCGCCCCCTCCTCTTCATCCTCTACCTGCTTCCCCTTGGTCACTTAATCCACCGTCATGGACTTCAATTCCACTGCTTTGCCGACGACACCCAGCTCCTCATCTCCACCAAGTCCATCTCCGCTGCTACCCACTCCATCCTGACAAACTGCATCACTGAAATAAAATCCTGGCTCCAACTCAACTGCGATAAATCAGAAATAATCATTGGACCTAAAAAGCTCACCACATCTATCCATAACTTCACCCTCAACATAGACGGTTTCCCAGTCCAAATCTCCCCTCACATCCGGAACCTAGGCAACCTGACCAAACCCTCTCCTTCAACAAATACATCAAACATCACGAAGCCTTCTTCCACCTCAAAAAAATCTCCCATCTATGTCCATCCCTCTCCCCCACTGCTGCAGAAACCCTCAACCACGCCTTCATCACCTCCCGTCTGGACTATTGCAACAGCCTCCTCTATGGTTAACCAAAAAAAATCATCAACAAACTTCAATACATCCAAAACCCCACCGCACGTCTACTCACCCACACCCGAATCCGTGAACACATCACCCCCGTCCTCATCAAGCTCCACTGGCTCCCCATCCCCCAGAGAATTCAGTACAAAATCCTTCTAATGACATACAAAGCCCTCCATAACCTGGCCCCATCCTACCTGACTGACCTCCTCCACAGACACACTCCCACTCGCTCCCTCCGCTCTGCCACTGCCAACCTCCTGTGCCCCACCCCACCCGGACCAACCTCAAGTCCCTTAAATTCCACCCTCTGGAACTTACTACCCCAATCCATCAGAGACTCTTCCTCTCTCACCGCATTCAAAACATCACTCAAAACACACCTGTTCAACACTGCATTCAACCACTGACCACACCCCCCCTATTTTCTGTTTTTGTTTTTCTGTTTTTGTATTTTTTTTCTTTGTTGTTTTTTACTCTCTGTCAAAGCGTCTTTGAGTTTCTAGAAAAGCGCTATACAAGTCTCATGTATTATTATTATTATTATTATTATTATTACAACAGAGCCGGCAGCTAACCAATCAGAGCAGACTGGGCTCTGGTTTCAGACAGAGGGTGAAAAGAGGTGCTGCAGGACGGGCAGTGTGAGAAAAATAAAGAGCTTTTTGAATATTAAAGCATGGAGACATGTCACAGCAGAGGAACAAAATACTAATATGAAACCTGGAAATGAGCAGAAAAGGGTCACTTTAAACCCCTTGGATCATGAATACATGTTATTCTATAAGTGCTATTATTCAAAGCTGAATCATTTGAAAACCTTTTGACGTTTTTCTCAGTTTTTTCTTTTTTTGTCGGAGTTTCTTATGAAAAGCGCTGCATTACATTTAGCACATGAGAAAAAGACCCTTCAAAAGGGACCATCGCTCTGGTATCAGCCATCTGTCGCCTCTTGTAAATTAATGATAGATTCTCAGTGCATATGCAGAAAGATGAATAGCCATCTGTTGATTAAATCTGTCTCTCTAAAATAGATGTTAACATTATCAGTGAAAGCTTTAGAGTAATAAGTCCATACATCTCATTTTGTAAGTCATCTGTGTGGCTTTCAAAAGACATTCTGAATCAGTTTTGCATCACCCAATTGCAATATAAACTCACATTTGGAGCATTAATTAGACTGAGGACTGACATTTTCAGGTTGAAATTAAGACTTGTTTTCAATATTAATAATACATTTTAGTCCATGAAAGGTAAGAAAATCATCCAAAAATATCTATGAGAGTTTCACAAAGTCCTAGGTATTGTCTTTAATGTCTAGTTTGTTCAATTTATAACTCAAAGATGTTCAGTCACATGATACAAAACTGAGAAAAGCAAGAACATCTCCATATTTGAAAGGTTTAAAACAACATTTTCATGAAAAACAATGACTTGATCAAAATAGGCGATTATGCCTCTGTAGATGAACTAATCGCTGCAGTTCTAGTTTATTTCCTCACCTCTTTCTATCCTCACTTTGTAAGTAATGCTGTTTCTTTATTGTGTAGACTGAACCAGGAGCATCTGGTGGGCGGAACATATTCAGATTCCTCATGGAGAGGAGGGCCCACTACGATTCTATCCTGGATCGAAGCAAACGCATCACGTGGCAGGACGACTGCTACGTGGACCTTCAGTCGACACCCTGCTCCGTCTCTTCAAAAGCAGAAACAGAGGGTACGAGTTTCAGAATCATCATGTCCTTATGTGACCTCTTTGGTTCATTTCCTGCGATTAAAACTCCTTTAGATTAGATTAGATTCCTTTATTGTCACTACACAGAGTACAGCGAAATTCCAAGCATTCCCGATGGTGCAATCACACATAACAGACAGTATAACTATAATTTTGACAATACACGCCACAACTTTTAATATATATAATATATAAAGTGAGTATAAATTGGACCTATGATACCTATGATATGCTTACAAAGCAATACAACAATACCATACAAATACAAGAACAATACAGTCAAGGCAGTAAACAAGTCAATAAGTAGGCCTAAATGTATTTATCAGTGCAGTTGATAATTACAAAACTAGAAATAAATATGTGTTCTATAAAAACGGTATGAGGTAGAATATAAGGTGCGGTTGGTTGTAAACATGTACTTAGTTGAGCATCAATTCAGTTCAGTTCCATTAGTGCTGTGATTGTCTGGCTGTGTTCAGCTCACGTATGGCACTGGGGTAAAAGCTGTTCTTATGTCTATTTGTCCGGGATTTGATGGACCTGAACCGTCTTCCCCTTTATTTTGAGGTATCCCAACTGTGGAGGTTGGATGGAAAGGCTCATAATGGTGAAGATTGCAGTGTTTGATCAGAAACAGGTTTATTGCCAAGTAGGTTAACACATACGAGGAATTGACCTTGGTGTGCATACATTCACACAGTTAAAGTAGAACAAAGACAGACGACCAAAAAATGTAATAAAAACATTTGAAGCTATTGAATGTTAAGATATAGAAAAGTATCCTTTCAGTCAGATGAGTATAATCATCTACCAGTAGGCATAATAATAATAATAGCTTCCTTTTTAAATTAATCTATAATAAATTAAACAAGATAAGTACCACTATTTAATTTAAAATACAGCCAAAGAAAATGAACTCCACTTTGATTAAACTGAATATATCATTCCTGATTCATTTAAGTTATTTTAAGGTTATTATCCATTATTACAGCTTTATCTGTAGAGCATCAGGGGCTGTGTTTAATGAAAGCTGAAGAAAGAACAACCTAGCTTTCATAATTGAAGTTTTTAATTAAATTATTCCAAATGTTATTGCAACCAAGTGAGGGTTTCATCAGCTTAATCTTTTACAATAAGATTTCTTATTAAAGACCAGGACCTTTTTTCCATCATCAGCTTCAGGAGGATTCTTGTGTTGTTGTTTGGTGACACTAAGCCTGTTGGTAATTCAAAGGGAATTGGTGAAAGTTGAGAAGAGAATAAAAAGGATTAGTTTGGGGGAAAAAACAAGAAGAGTAAGAGCAGTTCAGATGTTGTAAAGTAAAAAACTCAATCGGGGATGTGATGTCATTTTGAGCTTAATTTAGGCCTATTGATGAATTTCACGGTGACGTTTTCAACTCTTTTATTCAGCAGTCAAACAGTTTACTTTGGTTTAGCACTCCTACTGAAGTATCCACCACAAACACTATAGAAAAAGTATATATTTAGATATATTATTTTGCATTTAGTTTTCAAACTATGACCTACTGCTCACCACATCCACTCACGAGTTTCCTGTGAGACTGGTGAATAACTTTGATCTGCTCTTAAGAACCTGAAAATGCCAAATAAGTTGTAACTGAAACCTGGAGATTTACAGTTTTGTATTCAAACATTAATCTCATTAACTCATTAATTTAGAGAGGAGAGTCTTGCTCTGCTGAATAACCAAAGGTCATCTTTAGGATAATGATGTCCGGATACATGAAACCAATGTTCCTCGCAGATACACATTTTGCAGGTTTGTACATCTATCAAATTGAAGGATCCATTTCTATTTTAGTAGGGTTTGAAATAAAGCTGATAGATGGACATTCTAGGGATTCTTTTTAAGTTACATGAAGTGTTGAACACTCTTCTAGTTTTATATGTTCAAATGGGTGTTTTTGGATGCATAATTGAACATTTTAAAAATAGAAATTCGCACTTAAGACAAAGTCAATCTGATTGGCATTAGTTTTGCATTTATTTGATCAATACCACAATTTTGGAGAAAAATTAAATACAAGATGATGATAACCTGGAGAGATGCTTTGTGGACATTATTGTAGTTAGAGGAAAGGTCAGGGGTTTTAGGATTAATCCTGGATGTGCACATCTATTTTGCGGGTTGCATTAGGAAAGTGGGTAAGTCAGGGGATTTGCACACCCAATATCCGCCTCTCTTGGTCCTTCTGTGTTTTCTTTTTTGAGTGACGTCTGACATTTTTTATTCATTGAAAAGATTGTGAAATTAAAAGACAAATGGAAAGAGAAACAGCTTGTTATTTAGAATACTGATGTTGTGAAACGTGATAACCCGACAGACAAAATGGAAAATAAAAAAATGATGCATTAAATATTCATCAAAGAAGTGAGAATATACATTTTGTTTTCCTTTTTTTAGAAACAGAAATGACCAGAATTTGCACATTAATTCTATCATACTTTTCAGTTAGAAGAACACATTAAAGAATGAAGGAAATCTGAGAATAAGACAAACATGAACAGAGGAAAACTTGCTTCTCTTATAAAGCACCATGCAAAAAGGTTTAGGAAAATAGACTTTTTTTTTAATTATCACATCATCATTTCAGTTTCTATGTCTTAAGAGTATCTGCAATATTTTTCGATCTAGAACTTGGCTGGATCCAAAAGCACCAAGACCAGCTGCAACGCTTCATCACAACCTCCTTCCTGGAGGAGATGATGACACACCTGGGAAAGATGGATGTGTTGAATTCAGCTGAAGAGACGAAGGTCAAGGAGGCGGGCCGGCTGCAGGATCAGGTCAACATGTTCACATCCATCGTCTCTGGCAAGGACTCTCAAGGCTCTGACGCTCTGCGGGCCTTCGTTCAGAGCTCAGACTCTCAGGTGGCCCAGCTCATCATCAACCACGGTAAGGTGCTTGAGATAGCATGTTGGTATTCGTTATTGTTTTTGTAAAGGCTGAAGATCATCCAGTAATAGCCAAGGTGTTGGTTTCATTCCTGAATCTTTTTAACAGCATGTACCAACCCATTATGCCCAAAAAAATGCTCCTGTTGAGCAGTTGGGAAGCGTGTTAATGTAACTCATTGGAAAGCACTTTGCCCCGCTCTTGAAATAAGATTTGCTCTATTAACACAATCCATTTCCTGTTTTCACAAGTTGGTAATTGAAATACAAATAACCTGAACCTATTTTCCACAGAATCCATGGTGAAGGAGCACAAAGAGGCACTCCTCCGACGATACGAGCAGTACAGAGACCGAGATTCAATCATCTGCCCCAAACTGAACATCTCCTCCAGGACATTACTTCTGGTTGATGGACTTTCCGACATACAGCAGAAAGAACACGACTTAATGCAGGTCGGGGCGACTCGAGGAAGGAAGAGAAATCATCTCAGACAGCTTGGGCTGACCAAACTCTTGGAGCCTTTGACCCGGGTTAGTTTACCCCCGCGGGTCTCCCTCACAGTCGGGGTGGCTGGTATCGGCAAGACAACCTGGGTCCGACACTTCCTCCGACAGTGGAGCCAAGGAGCCATCTGCACCGATGTGAGCTTCATCTTGCCTTTCACTTTTTGCGAGCTGAACTCCCTGGAGAAAGTCTCTGCTGAGAGGCTGGTGAAAATGGCTTTTCCTCATCTAACGGATCCCCGGTCTGGTCCTGAGCAGCTCCTGCCGCACACTGCTCATTCTCGATGGTTTGGACGAATTTCGCTGCACCTTAAATTTCTCCGATGCAGCTCCTTGCAGCGACCCAAAGAAAGAGGTGTCCATCGATGACCTGGTGACTAACATCATCCGGGGGAATCTGCTCCCTGACGTAGCGGTGTGGGTGACCTCCAGGCCCGGGGTGGCCTCACTAATCCCCGGAGGATTGGTTGACAGGGTGACTGAAATCCCAGGATTCAGCTCAAAGGACATCCAGCTCTTCCTAAACCACCACTTCTCCGAGAGGGATTTTTCCAGTAAGATCTGGGCGCACTTGGAGTCCAATAAGATCCTAATGGTGATGTGCTACATACCTTGCATTTCGTGGATAGTAGCAGACACTCTGATGTACATCATGCAGAGTGAAACACAGGAAAGCCTCCCCAGGACGTGTACCGAACTCTACGCTCACTTTTGTTCCATGAAGGCAGAGGTAGGTGAACCAAGGGGCCGGGAGCCAGTGAAAATGGAGCAGCTTCACGGGACTAATCGCAAACTGCTGGGAAACCTTGGGCGTCTGGCGTTTTACGGGCTCCTCAAACACAAGTACACCTTCAGCGAGCAGGACCTCCGGGCCTACGGGATAGACCTGCTGTTGACCCAGTGCAGTCTGGGGGCTGGAGTTCTTGTTCGGGAGGAGTCGGCCTTGTCCACGACATACCGCTTCACTCACTTGACTCTGCAGGAGTTTCTTGCAGCTACTTTCTACCACATCTCCTCCAAGCGGGCACTCTTTGACTTATTCTCAGAGAGCACCATGTCTTGGCCCAAGATCGGTTTCCAGAACCACTTCAAAAGCGCCTTCCAGCACTCGCAGCAGGCGGAGGACGGTCACCTGGACGTGTTTGTGCGCTTCCTGACAGGCCTGCTGTGTCCGGCGGCAATAAAGCCTCTCGCTGGGCTGCTGGCCCTCGGGAAGGACGATGGGAACCAGAAGGCGTGGGCAGCGGGGTTTCTCCAGAGTCTGTTGGTCAGTGGGGGGGCGGTGGTGTCCCTGCGGTCGGTCAACCTGGCTTATTGTTTACAGGAGCTGCAGCACACAGAGCTGCTGCGGAGCGTGGAGGAAGACTTGCAGCTGGGCAGCCTGGCAGGGAAGCTAACTCGCGCTCACTGTGTGGTGCTGGGCTACCTGCTGCATGTGTCGGCAGAGTGCAGCGAGCAGACCAACCTCACCGGCTCCCTGAACTACGCCACGGTCAAATGTTTGCTCCCACAGCTGCTGTACTGCAGCTTTCTCAGGTCAGATCCCGAAAGCACCATCGCCCAGTGAACTAAAACTCAGGAGAAGGGTAACACTTTTTAACACGTATCTACTTCACAGGTTGGAGAACAATCACTTTAAAGATGATGTCATGGAGCTGCTGGGAAGCCTCCTCAGTGCTAAAGACTGCCATATTCAGAAAATAAGGTGCGATAACACTTATTTTTCAGTATGAAGAACGTTTTATCAGTTCTGAACCACTGTAGTTTGAACTTGAAAGGATTTTTGACATGAATAGTTTAACTTTTTTATAACAAGTCAGTGTCTTTTTTCTGTTAGAGACAGCCAGTGATCAATATTTTTGTCATATTTTAACTTTTTTTTACTCATTCCTTCAGTTTGGCAGAGAATGCCATCAGCAACAAAGGTGCCAAAGCTCTGAGTCGAGCGCTCTTGGTGAACCGGACGCTAACGTCTCTCAAGTGAGATTTGTTTGTTTGCCTTTGACCTATAAGAGAATTGAATCAAGTGACAGGCACAACCTTTGGAATTCAATTCATTTTCTGCATATTGAGCATTTCTTTAGATCACAAATATGTCACATTCAATGCAGCTTTAAACATAATAGTCACAATTTGTGCTGAAGTCTTCATATTTTACAGTTATGTATACTGTCCTTCATCTAACCAGCTTTTTTTATAATTCAGTCTCCGGAACAACAACATCGGCTCTAAAGGCGCAAAGTTCCTTGCAGAGGCTCTAAAAATGAACCAAGTCCTGGTATCAATCAAGTGAGTATAATTGGCGTAGTCCATAGAGAAATTAGTATTACCCTAACAGTTGCCAGTCTAACAACTGGACTTGATGTAATTGCTCAATTTCCACCACTTCTCAGCTTCCAGAACAATTCCATTGAAGAGGAAGGGGCTCATGCTCTCGCAGAAGTGCTGCATTGCAATCGCAAACTGGTGTCTCTGAAGTGAGTGTTTCCCTTTAGTTAGACATATTTGATTTTATACATTTTTTTTTGCAGAGAAATCACTTATTTTGCCTTTCGTGCATGTCATTATTTAGTTTACGGAAGAACATGGTTGGAGCTGGAGGAGCCAAAAGGATTGCAGAGGCGCTGAAGACAAACCGGACCCTCACAAAACTGATGTAGTTATTCAAAGATAGACTTTTTCACTGCACTCATATTGATGATATCATGTATAATTATGCAATAACAAATCACTTCCAATCTAATGCATTTAAGACATACATATTCTTCTTTATCTATGTTCTTTCCTCTTTATTTCGTGTCTATTTTCAGGTTTTCAGTAAGCTCAATAATAACATGCTGCCAGATGTTTTCTTATGAAAGGTTTTTTATTAAACAGCCTATTAGGGGGTCACATACTGATCGTCATTAATTATTTGACTTTTTCTGCAGTCTTTGTAGTAACCAGCTCGGGGACAAAGGAACAGTGGCTCTCGCCGAGGCTCTGACAGTGAACCACACGCTGCTGGTGCTGCAGTCAGTACCTCCTGCTTTCTACCATTATCAATTTCCATTTGAAATTCCACTGCTAATTCATTTTACCATTGTTGGTTGTAACACTATGGCTTACATACTGTGCAACAATTACGCAGTTTGTCTTGCCAGTACTTTACTTCTGTTTTTTTGTTTCGACAGACTTCAGAGTAACTCCATCAGCAACAAGGGGATGACGGCGCTAACCAAAGCGCTCCGGCTAAACCGTGGTCTGGTCTCCTTGAAGTGAGTATTGAGCTTTGGCAAAGACAACTCTAATAAGTTTATCAAAAGTCCACCAGCTCTTGAAACCAGCTGATTCAAGACGCAAAATAAGGACGTGATTTTTTAAAGAGAGAGAACAGCACTGTTGCAACCAAATATAACAACAAAAACACCACAGGTTGACCTTGTTATTGAGACACATCCGCTAATAAACCATGGCACGTACTCTGTTCCACAGTCTGTCTGCAGTCAGAAGACGGTTAGCTCACATCCGATCCCTCTCTCTTAACCACAGGATTTTAATTAGGGACCATCAGTACATTGCCATTTGAATAACAAAAAACACATTTTATAATCGATACCTCGAAGATAACTTGCCCATTTTTGTAAAAAAACATGCTTAAATATCTAATAAATGTTCCTTATGAGGCACAGCTTTTTTGATAACCAATTAATTTGTAATTTTATTTGAGTTTATTGGTGAGTTTAAAGGTGGGGTATGTAATTTATTTCAGAAACACTTTTTGTTATATTCCATGGAATACTCTTAACATCCCGATAGCAATGAATACATTAAGAGCTTTGACAATAAATACATAAAAAAATGTAATCTGTGGAACCCGTGGCGCTGTAAAAAGCACGACCAATCATCTGAGCCGGCCCGGCTAAAGTAACTGGATGGCCTACCTGCCTGTCAGCCTTCCATCTGTGCATAAATTTATCTCGTGCCCTCATTGGTCGTGTGCGCGTTCGTGTGTGTTGGAGGAGGGGCTCTGTAAGGAAGTCTGAAGGAAGGGGCAGATTTTTTCCGGTTGTGTACTTTTCAAATTCTAGCGCACTCGAGCTGGTTTTTTAAATGATTATTTTTGTTAAGCAATTAAAATAATAACTTTGGACTATGTTTAATATTGTATGTGTCATTATGACTCCACATCAATACAGAACTGTTAAACCCTTTTTATAGGATGTATATGAATGCTGTTATGAAAATTCAGTTTATTTCAGTCTTGTTTATTTTCAATAGTTTCTAAAGCTATTAAAAATAAACTTTGTCCTACTTGTCCAGTGTAGAAAAACAAAGTCAATTGGTCACATGATATTCAAGCTATTGAAAAAGTAAAACATTAAAAAAACTTCAGATTTTTTCACAAAAAATATTCACTTCCTTAGTTAGCTTAGCTTCAGAACTCCAGAGGTGATGTTAGGTGGACTTTGTTACCATTGATTTTCAGTCTTTTCTAAAATGCTAAGCTAAGTAAATGCTGGCTATTGCTTTATATAACCTTTACAGATGTAAGAGTGTTATCATTCTTTTTATCTATCGCTTTTAAATACAAATAACAATGGGAGATTGTTGTGAAAACTGTAGTTTCTTATCCTTTCTTTTCCATATTTCTGCATCTGATAGTTTGAGGGAGAACTCCATTGGGGTCGAAGGGGCGAAGAACATGGCCCAGGCCCTCCATGAAAACAACTCGCTTCAGGACCTCGAGTGAGTCACCTTATTATGAGTAGTGTGCTCTGTAATTCCCTGCATTATGCCACTGCTCACACAATGTCAAGTGCCCACCCACTCAACCCCAGCCTGTGCTAAATCACAAACCCATGAGAATACTGCATGAACACTGTGAAGAGTTATGGTGTTATTCAAAAACTGAACTTCAAAGCATAAGTCAACTAAGTTGTCATTTCTTTAATTGCTTTTTCCCCAACTAAATAGTTGCCTCTTCAAACTTCACAGCAGCTACATTTTATTTGCAGACATGTTGAGCAAACAGTAAAAGACTTTGATTAACACCACATATGCACTCTTTTATAACACCTAACTTGAGTAATTGGGTATTGTGTGATTGTTTAACTTTATCTACTGTGTGTGTGTGTGTGTGTGTGTGTGTGTGTGTGTGTGTGTGTGTGTGTGTGTGTGTTCTTTTATCCCAGTCTCACAGCCAACCTCCTGCACGATGAAGGGGTTCAAGCTATAGCTGGTGCGATCAAAGTGAATCGAGGCCTCACCTCTCTGCAGTAAGTCAGGCCGTTTAACACAAAGGCAAAAGGACACACGCCTGAGCCTGCGAGTAGTTAAAGGATCAGCTACGTTCCGCTTTGAACATTTTCCCAAAGAGCATAACATTTGTACAAGAATAGAAGAAAAAGATTGAAAGTTTTCAAAACGTCTCATTGTAAATAAAGTATGCACCGTTATATGCGGAGATTTTGTCTCAGAAACAAACTGTCTCAGAAACATTTGAAAGAAATATGCAGAATAAATAACTTAGCTTTATTTTAATGCATAAGTACCTTTTTAAAGCTGGTCTAATTCATATGTTTGTACTTATGGAGATTACTACATTAAATGTGAAAGGGTCACTCGGAGTGGTGTGAGAATATCTGCAGTTCCCATCAGCAATACCGAGATTTTAGCGTATATAAAGTTTGAGTAGACAACGTACAAGTTCACTCGTTCTCAGGTCACATTTACATCTCAAATTAGCATTGTCTTTAGTCAATTCATGTATTTTATTTTTTAGTAAAGAACCTTTTAAACCCAACTGTATGTTTCTTTTTTGGAAACACGAAGCGAAAGCCAACGTAATGTTAGTAGCATTATGTTGACTAAAACAGAGCATGAAAAAACAAAGACCAACTTATTTTCTCAGTAGATGAGATAACATGAACTCGAAATGAACACTCTTATACTGCTCAATTTGTAAATTTCTTTACTAGCCGCTTTGCATAATGAAATGTATATGGTGATTACATATTTTGATGTTTACCGCTTGTTGTGCTGCCCCCAAATTGTAAAACAATTAATAACGCGGGTTTTAAGAAAATCATTACATCTGAATCACAGAACACAATATTGTTATTGCAAATGTTTCCTTGCATGTATTGTCCTTACTTGTGACATGTAAAAAACCCTGCATACAGTATCTGCGTAATGGTTGACTTTCTGTGCCTCTGTTTACAGTCTCCAGTGGAATTTCATCAAGTGCTCTGCCACTAAAGCTCTGGCCAACGCTCTCCTCACTAATGCCACAATTCAGCTCTTGGAGTAAGGTCAATGTTTCAGAGCTGTTTTCAGCCTCATTACCACATTAATGTAACTCTCCTCTCTGTGTGAAAATGATTAGTGACAGGAGTGAGACGACTGATCGTGGTCTCATGAGCTACTTATGTTATGTGTCATTTCAGTCGTAGCTATTATTCACAATTGTCACGGAATGTGTCTTTGCTGCAGTCTACAGGAGAATGCTATCGGGAATGAAGGCGTCATCTTTCTTGCCGAAGCCTTGAAAACCAACATGTCTCTGCGTATATTGTGGTTAGTATTGCATTTATGTGCCATAATTGATCAATATCTTGGTATTTAACCTGAAATAAAGAACAGAAGTCAGTCTTAAATATATATAGAAACCCTTTTTTTCTGTCACTTTTCCATGTGTTCACATATTCTGTCTCCATAGTCTCCAGGGAGTCTCAGCGAGCACAAGTGGCGCCCTGGCACTGGCGGGGGCTCTAATGAGAAACCAAACTCTGCAAACACTGGAGTGAGTCAAACCTTTTCTTTTGTTTTAAACTTTTTTCTGTGCTTGTTTTTATGCAGTTAAAATATTGTGTAATAAGCCAGCAAATTGAAATCAGCGGTTTTCAATCTTGCTCCTCGGTAGTGTTTCTGTTTCAGCTCCACAGGGGTTTGCTTCTCAGTGGGAGTTTATTTCAGTCTTTATTAAAAGCTTATCCTTATAGAAATCAAAATATATCAGTCGGTAAGTATTGACACAAACAACTTGTTCTAAAAACACCACAAAAGAAAATATACCTAGCAAAATATGGTTTAGAATATACACAGAAAAGTAGTATGAAAAGTATCATCCGTCTGTTTTTCACAAAAGGGCAACAAAAGAAAATTGTTTATGAGGAATCTCATTATGAACTGAAGGATGGGACACCACAAGCGTCTCTTTGTGAAGCTTCCAATCTCCCAAAGCCAATTTTAAGATTGCCCAGCAGTCACTTGTGTCATTGATGCCTTTCATCTTTCATCTGTACAACCTCTTCTATTAGGGTTTCTTTGTTGATGCTGCCAGTGGTACAACACTACGACGGAGTATTAGGGCCAAACTTAGAAAAAACAAAACAGAGAGGTTTCGAGAATAAAGTCGTAATAATACGAGAATAAAGTCATAGTTACGAGAATAAAGTTGTAACATTACGAGAATAAAGTTGTAATATATTACGACTTTATTCTCGTAATTATGTTACGAGAATAAAGCCGTAGTTTCATAAGTGACTTGAGAAGCGGACTTGGAGGAGATTGTCTCCTTTCTGCAGGAGGAACTACAAACTTGAAGAAAGCAGAATCATATAAGTACATCAGGTTTCATAGAGCTAAAACATTTCAAGTGCTACTCAACTGGCTTTAGATAAGCCAGTCCTTTATTAGTATATAAGTGCTTTGTTAGCAATTCTTTGTTAGTAATTCTATCGCTCGAAGTGGAGTCGAAAGAGATGAGTTTTCAGTCTGCGCCGGAAGATGTGTAAGCGTTCTGCTGTCCTGATTTCAATGGGGAGCTCATTCCGATTCCACTACAAGGCTATCGTTCGACTCCTTCTGGATCCAAAGCCTTGATTACAAGTCTCATCGTTTCTTGTGAAACAACAAATCCCCTTTGAACAGCTCGTAGATGTAACCAACGATAGCCTTGTAGTCGGCCAGAACCAGCCATTTCCTCCTGCAGAAAGGAGACAATCTCCAAAGTCCGTTTGGTTCTTTCTTCGAAATAATAGACATAGTTTCTTGCACAACCTTTTCAAAGTTCTAATACTTATGATAATCTGATGCTGATGTGCCAAAAGATTAAGTATGTCGTTATTTGAGAAACCTAAACTAAAGTAGCCTACTGCTTCACAAGATGCTCCACATTCCTCATTCAGGACGCTGCTGTTGTCTCCTTCTCAAGTCACTTGTGAAACTACGACTTTAATCTCGTAATTATGACTTTATTCTCGTATTATTACTTTATTCTCGTATTATTACGACTACTTTATTCTCGAAATCTCTTCTTTTTTTTTTTTAAGTGTGGCCCTAATACTCCGTAATTTATTCTGTTTTGATAAAAAAAAAATGGAGAATGAATGGAATGGAAAAATTGCTTTATTATAAAAATATTTAACGTGACGAGTGAGGAAAGTTAAAGAATCTAAATACATGGCTGATTTTGAAAACATAATGATTCAATTTGAATGATTACACCACATTACATAAACTGAAATGTTGCACAAGAGTGCAATGACCTGTTTAAGGTCACACTAACATTTCCATGAAAACATTTACATAATGTCAAGGTGCTCTGTACAAAGCTCAGTTAAACCAGTTGAGATGCATTTATAAATGGTGAAACGAAAATGTTACTTAGGTTTTCCTTTTGACGATCACAAAAATCATCTTCCTTTTATATGTAAAGTGCGATAAATGTCTCATTAACACAGGCTCCAGTGTAAATAACGATTAGACACTTGATAAAATACTTAACAGTTAATCACTTCATTAGTATGTTTATGATTATTTGTTAGTTTAAAAGTTGAGTCAAATCATAGAAGAAGTTCCCTTATTAGTCATTTATTTCCCAGGTTTTTTTTCAACAGTTATTTCCATTTTCACTCATGGGTCTACAGGTTTTATTTTGATGTGGAGGCCATTAAGTGAACGAAGCACCAGTCGAGGAAGTATCTGTGGTGTTTGCGTTGGGTCCTCGATCAGATGGTATCTCTTCAGTGTCAGCGCTGTTGACACTTTCAGCTCGTTCATGGCAAAGTTCTGACCAATGCAGTTTCTGAGTGAGGAAAACAGCACCAATGAGAGGAATGTGGTGACAAATTAAGCTTTAAAGTAACATCATATAGGAAGACAGCACTTAAGGTTATGGAAATCAGATGAACAGTCAATACCAAATGATATATATATTTTTGATTTACATAATAATGGAATAGGTTGGACAACAGCCTTTCACTAAGCCTTTCGTGTTTGCCAAATATGTTTTTAATGCAGTGCTATTGTATTGTAATGTGTTGTAAACTTAGCTGTAGCCCTATTTTTAGTGAGCTAGTCAAACGGTATCATGAGGACAAACCTTGGCCCAGCAGAGAAGGGCACGAATGCGTGAGGAGGCCTCTTGGAAACATTCTCCGGGAGAAAACGCAGTGGGTCAAAGACCTGGGTTGACACAAGATGGAAAAACAAACACCAGTGTGGCATTAATCAAAATCTCTTGCACTTAATATG